GAGTTGCATTCCATTATACAAAGATTCTACAGTTTGTTTATCCGTTAACCTATCAATGGATACAGTATTTGGGCTATGAACATCTTATACAAATCATTTTATGGACATATGTTTTCATTTCTCCTGGGCCTTGGTGATATAAGAGTAGAATTGCTTGACATAGATGATAGATAGATAGATAGATAGATAGATAGATAGATCGATAGATTATAGATATGTAGGTTGGATAAATTTATTTAACTTTATGATACACTGCCAAAGGGCTCCCCAAAGTAGTTTTGTGCATACTAACTGTGTATGAGAGTTTCAATTACTCCACACCCCCACAAATACTTGGTATTGTCAGGTTTTTACAATTATTAAAGTCATACTAGGCGACAGTGACTCACTCCAATAATCCTAGCTACTCACAAGACAGAGATCAGGAAGATTGCAGTTTGAAGCCATCCTGGGCAAATAGTTTGTGAGACCCTATCTTGAAAATACCTAACACAGGGGGTGGGGGCAGGGGGGAGAAATAACCCAAGCATTGAATGCACATATGAATAATAAAAAAATAAAAATTAATAAAAAAATTATATCAATTAAAAAAATTGAAAAAAAAAGAAAATACCTAATACAAAAAAAGATTTAGGGGAGTGGCTCAAGTGGTAGAGCACTCGCCTAGCAAGCCTGAGGCCCTGAGTTCAAACCCCGGTGCTGCCAGAAAAAAAAAAGAAATTATTAAATTCATGAGTGTGACATGGTACCTCATGTTCTTGGTACTTTTCATAACAGGAGGAATGACTGAAGCTGACATCTAAGGAATGAGAAGTAGACCAGGTGAAGAGGATGGAGTATTGTGCATTCTGGGCAAAGAGGACAAAATAGGTAGAAGGTCCAAGGTGAGAAGCAGCAAAGCAGTCTTGCTGAACCGGAAAGAAATGTGGTGCGAGCTAAGGCTGTTGGGTAATGATGGACAGCGCTGAGCTATTCTCTTCCAGGGAGTCAGTTGAGTCTGGGCAGTACACACACCAGCAGAGACCTGGATAACCAAAATTAATGTCCTGAACTGCATCAAAACACAGGAATAGCCAGGTGTGGTGACCTGGGCCAGTAATTCTAGCACTGTGGAGACTGAGGCAGGAGGATTGCATTTTGAAGCCAGTCTGGACAACATAGTGAGTTTGTGTCCAACCTAAGCTATAGAGCAAGACCCTGTCTCCAAAACCAACAAAACACCCCCACCCCAAATGCAGGGATTTCATATTACCCTGGGAAGTAGACGGAGATGGAGGGGGCTCATAATGAGCAAAACTGAATTTTTGTCCTCATTGCAGAAGGGTACTCAGAACAGATTAAATTTGAAGTTAAAGGAAAGAAAGAAGAAGGGAAGAAGGAAGGAAGGAAAGAAAAGGAAGAAAGGAAGGAAAGCAAGCAAGCAAGCAAGTAGGCATTTCTTGCATATGGCCATTGTAGTTGCAAATTCCTGTTCCCCCTGTTCCCCGCATATGAAGGAGTATGATTGCTGGGCGAGGCTGAGTGACCTTTTGAGGTAAGAGATGATGAATTTTAAAAATGAAGTCATTCAGCCTGTTGGTGTGATCTTTCCCTGGCAATATTCAGCTGCTCAGGTGCAAGTATGAAATCTCATTTCAGACTGTAATGCTCAGGCAGCTTGTGGTTTTTCCAGAAAATGACTGCAGTTTGAGGTGGGCAAGGGGATGACTATAATGATGAATTATGGGCTCTACATTGTACCATCAGGGAAATGAAGAATGGAAAAACAGAAATGGTGGGACTTGTGGATTAGTAGTCCCAATGAGGTTGAAGGATTATAGCAAACGGGGTGTTAGCAAAAGGAGCTCAAAGTCTAGATGGTGGTGAGTGGAGCCTAAGGTATTTACATTTTCATATTTTAAAGATGGAGCCCTTTTTTGGGGGGGTGTTAAAGTTCATAGGGTGTATTCTGTGAAGGGATGGTTCAGTTGAGAAGGTTGATGGAGATGAGAAGGTAAAATAACTGAAACAGCAGAGTAATGAATAGACCATTAACGTGAATGTTGAGGTCAAGGATGGCGCTAGGAGTTGGAAGAGGCAGGGAACAGAGTACATTGATTAGGATGTCAGGTGACAGTCAAGATGTGTTGGGTGGTAGATCTGAATAGGATGGAGATCTTTGCAGGGAGAAGGGGAAAACCCATTAGGAAGTTTAAGGTTGGCTCTAGGAACATTAGTACTGTATCTTTTTGACTAACCTTCCAATGGTTGAATGAAATCACACCAACCCACGTGAAGCTTTTCAATGGGGAACGCTTATTACAGGTTTTCCCACCAGTGGGCGCTACCAACACCGAAAAACTGACCTCCAAGCCATCCCTGGAGGCCCGGAAAGTGTGTCTCAGGCTAAGCTCTGAGGACCCCTAGGGCTCTTTTGAGGTATTGAAAGGAGCTCAGCCATCCTTTGGCAAGACTGCAATTGTAGAGATTTAAAAAAATGTATGTAAATCTTTTTTTCTTCCTTTGGTGGTACTGGGCTTAGAACTCAGGGACTCACACTTGGTAGGTAGGTGCTCTATCATTTCAGCCATGCCCCCAGTCCTTAGTGTATTATATAGATCTTAACTAAAATCCAATTCCTAAATTCCTTTAAAGAAGTTCTGTATTTTCACAACAAAAAGAAACTAAAAGTATAACTACTATCATGTAAGAATTGGTGACGTTTTCTCCTAGGTTAAAGGGTTCTTGTAACTGCATGTTTTTTATACATTTTTAAAATTAGGATATATTCATTATACATCATGGTGTATACAACTCATAGTGACAATTCTGATTAGACTTATATTGTACAGTAACTGCATATTTTGAGAGTTGATTGGCAACACCTACACTTAAAACTTTCCTTCCTGCATCACTTTTTGTAAGCATGTCAGAGGGAGAAGACTACAGGGCTGGAGTCAGAGTTGTATTATCATCAACACCAAAGGGTTTACTATGCACCAGAAAGTGTTCTAAGTCTTGCACATAAATTTAGTCTTTTATTCTTCTTGTGATCTTATAAGGTTGAAATTATCATTAGGACCATTTGACATAAAAATAAGGCCCAGAGCGATTAGGTCATTGGCCAAGGCTGTACAACTAGTCCATGCTAGTGGACTTGAATTTCATCTTTTCCCTAACCAAAATAGTTCAGGTTATGCTGTTAAGAACAAAAACCCGGGAACCTCTGTAGCTTAACTCAACAGATGTTATCTGTTGCATAGGTTGACAGGAGGGCTTGGCTTATGGTGCTAGTTCCAGGACCCAGGCTATCATAAGTTTCCTGTTGACAGGAAACCTGCTTTCACTATCATGATTACTGATTGCTATCAAGGTAAAAGAGTTTGTGACCCTATCTGTGCTAGAAAGTAAATGGTTCTGCCTGAAATGATGCCTGCCACTTCTCACACTTCACTGGTCAAAGTTGCATGCCACTCCCAACTTCAAGAGGGCAAGCGCTGGGTGCTGGTGGCTCATGCCTGTAATCCCAGCTACTCAGGAGGTAGAGATCAGGAGGATTGAGGCTTGAAGCCAGCCAGAGCAAATAGTTCAAGAGACCCTATTTCAAAAAAAACCCTTCCCAAAAAGGGTTGGTGGAGTGGCTCAAGGTGTAGGCCTTGAGTTCAAATCCCAGTTACTGCCCCTCCACCAAAAAAAAAAAAAAAAAAAAGAGAGCAAGGAAATGCACTTCTGTTATGGTCCTAGAAGCAGGCAAATCAGACTGTAGTTGTAGTCAGGGCTTTTGCTAGAAATTTCAGTCTGGAATCACTAGCTGTCCAGTGTCTGTTCAAAGCTGGAGACATTGGGATATCGCAAAGGTGCCCTTCCTCCAGATTCTTCCAACCCTCTCTGAATCAAGTCAGGTCAGCAGAACTGCTGGCTTGGCTTCTTGGTTTCAGTCCACAGACACACCCGAGGATGTCTGTTGTGACTCAGGGATGAGCTAAGCCATAGACACTCCTTTGCCAGCCACCAACTCCCAGGGTAGTGCAAAAAAATACATTTTTAAAAAGGGCATTTTCCAAACATCCATGCAACCAGGAGTGACCACATGGCTAGCCAAGCTCTAGAGGACTCCGCCGGCCCCTTTCCTCTGGGTCACTTGACCCTTCCTCACTCCTCTGATAGACTGGGTCATGAACTCTCGAAGAACCGAAAACTATTTTCAATGTGGGTTCCACTGGGTGCCCGCCGCTCGGTATGCACTCAATAAAGGTTTGCTGCATGAAAATGCTTCTGGGGATTCTTTATGATTGTTGACACACGCAGAGTTCATCGTCGAATTGGGTCTATGGCCATGCGATTAGGCTGGTTGAACTTCAGGCCCTGGGAGCCTCCGCAGCTAAAATAAGGCCAAAGTGGGGGATGGGGAGGTAGTGGGGGGGGGGGAAGGAGGACATTTCAGGCCAAGGGAGCAGATGTCCCGGACACAGCAAGTGTCTAATTCTGCCTGGAAGGAAAAAATACAAGAGAGGGAGGTTGGGGGCAGGTACCAGTAGAGGTCTATGGCCAAAGTCCAGAAGGAAGAAATAGCAGGTTTTTGATGGGGGACAATGAGAGGAAGCAAGTGTAGAAGCAGGGGTGGGGTGTCAAATTCTGCAGCCAAGAGCGATAACGCATGAAAGGCAGGATGGGTGGAGGCACCGGATTCCTCTTATTTATGGGAGCTCCCCATCCGCAAAGGGGTAAACCCAACACTGACTTGCCAGTCCTCCCGCGCCAGGAGAGCGGGTACAGCCCCGCCTAGCCCTGTCACGTGGCCAGAAACGCCCTGGGCACGTGACCCACCTCGCGCTGGGCCAATCAGCTTCCGCAGGGGCGGAGCTACCGGGTCTGAGGGGCGGGAGCGCCAGGAGAGGCCACGTCTTCTCGCGAGCCTTGCTACCGTTGCTCCTCAGCCGCCCACGACCGGGAGCGAAGGTCTCGCGAGGTTTGGGCGCTGCGGCCGTAGGAGGAGGACGACGGGGAAGGACGGAGCTGAGCCGCGGCTGCCTCCCTCGCTCACTCCCTCGCGAGCTCGCCCGCCCCCTCCCTCCCTCCCCTCCCTTCCCCGGCCCTGGGCCCCGGCTCCGGCCCATTTGCTGTTCCGTCTTGTGGTAGGGAGGATGTCGGGCTCGTCGCTCCCCAGCGCCCTGGCTCTCTCGCTGTTGCTGGTCTCTGGCTCTCTCCTCCCAGGGCCAGGCGCCGCTCAGAACGGTAAGCTGGACGCCGGGGGCGGGCCGGGTGGGGGCTGAGGGCGCCGCCGGCCGGAGGGGGCCCGGGTATGGGTGCGAGCGGCTGCTGGTGTGAGGAGGAGACGCCGGCCGAGGGTTTGGAGAGGCGCCTGTTGAGAGGTGGGGGCGTCCGGTGGGAGCCCGAGGCGTCGTGGGGCATGTCGCTCCGGGTCGGCAAGGGGACGCCGAGGAAGCCGGCGGGGGGAGCTGGAGTGGCGGGGGCGGGCGAGGAGACCTTCGTTTCGTACATAGCTGATGGAAGGGTGGTGGGAATCAGGCTCCGGGAAGGGAACCTGGATCCGGGGCGCCGAGACCGACTGGCATTCTAGTGGGGCCCCGTAACACTGGTGACATCCTTAAAAATAAGATGGAAACTGGGAAGGGGGGGGCAGGGAGTCCCGGAGAACGCCGAGGGTGAGCTGAGTACTCGATCCCAAAGGACGGGTAAGGGATCGGGGTCTGGGGGTGGTGGGAAAGGGGGTGGAAAGATAAGGGAGTGGGTTGACTGCAGTCGGGGACCTGGAGGGAGAAGCAGTGTCTCCCAGCGAGCCGGGGGAAAAGGCTGAGTTTGTTGCGGAGGGTGGAGTGCCGGGCATTCTAGGGTAGTGGTTGGGAGAGCTAAAAGGAGTTTCTAAATAAGGAGAGGAAAACGAGCAGAGGATGGGGGAAGCGTTGAAACTGAGGGAGGGGGAATGTTTATTCGCAAAGTAAGGGTGCCTCGGTATGGAGGTGGGGGTGGGCGAAGACGGAAAATAATGGAAGGGAGTAAAATGCAGTGAGTCGGGGGTTTGTACCGTGGAGGATCTGTCAGGAAGGAAGGGAGGGTATGAGTTGTGGCAAACACTAGAAGACATTGGTCCCGCCTTGGGCAATGCCGGACACAGCTGCCACTGCAGGGGTGGGATTGAGGGCAGTGACTGACAAGAGGGTGTGGATTTTTGAGATTCATCTGAAAGTTTCCGGACTGAAAAGATGTTATTTCCGAGGAATATAAAAGTGGCCTCCGGGATGGGTGCAAGTACAGCGGAAATGTGAGAATGGGGTTTTGAACAGTTCGATAGAGAAGATGGAGAGACGGTAGGGTTAGGGAATCTGAACAAAAAAGAATTGTGCTTGAAGGCATGTGTTACAGTTCGGCGACTGAATTGATTTTTCAGAAGTGAAACTAGGATTGTGAACCTGTCTCTGCTCTTGTGGAAACAACTATTAAGAGGTGTAAAGGTCTTTTAAGACGAAAAAAATATGTACGTTAGTACTGGAGAGTGACCCATAAATTATTTGCTAATTTCTCAGTGTTTCTTCATTGTTACGCTAGAACAATTAAGATTGCTCTCAGTAAAAGACCTGAAACTTAAATTTTTTTTTTTTTTTTTTGGTGATACTGGGGTAAAATGACTTTATTAAAAAAAAAAAGAAAAAACGTGATAGAGCCAGTGGAGTTGAGTATTCTGAGAAACTGGGCTTCAAATGCTGAAGATTACAATGAAAATATGTAACAGTATTGAAAAAAATACTAGTTAAATGTGTTTGTTGTACCATGCCACGTGGTCTTTGATTATCACCGCAAGGGTCAGAAAGGAAACATTTTCTGTCCCTTACATTGAATACACTGAGGATATTAGGTTGTTTTCCCCTCCCCCCTCTATTTTCCTCTAAGGTTAAAGTTGATGCGGAAGGCAGGGTAGAGTTAGTCTAATTTGTCTTAGCAATTTTTCTATCGGTCTTAATATAATATAAATTAAGCCAAATTCTGATTTCACATACTCAGTTTATGGAAATAACATGGTTTCACTTTGCACACTAAGTGAGTCTTGATTTTACCTGTTTAATCCTCTGCTGGCATAGCTTCTTTCCAATGATTTATAATTTGGCGAAATTGTAGTTTCTTAGCAACTAAAGCAAGGTTTTGGATAGGCCTATAAAAGACTCAACTGGCTGCTCTTAGTGGTAACGTGTTCCAAATACAGTATAGTACATTTCCCTTGAAATAAGCTTGAATTCAGGCACATGACATGACCTTTAAAGTGAAGCAGAGCCCGTAGGTAACCCAAATGAATGTAAATGAATGAGTTTGAGTTTACATGGTTAAAGATGCCATTTTGTAGTTTCCTATAAATATCTTATGATAATATTCAGGCTTTCAATTGGTAGTAGCCCTGCAGTACTTAGAACTTATGTAATGAAGTTTTTAGTTTCTTGACAGTGCTTTAGAAAGGGGTGCCATGCTCCGGTGTTGAAATGTTACATTTCTATTAAAAGGGTGCTTGGGGGGGCGGTGCGAAGAAGCCTTAAGCGTTTCTGGATTGAGAATGTGGTAGTTTAGATTGAGGGTAGATGTTTTTCCAAAGGTCTCTTTTTTTGCCCAGCCTGGTGGTGCATGCTTCAGTATCAGCACTCAGGAGGCTGAAGTAGGAGAGTTTAGAGTTCCAGGCCAGTCTGGGCTATTACCGTGGGGATTCAGGGCTTTCATTCGAGTTCATTTTGTTTCCCATCCAAATATTTAGACTTGTAAAATCAGTTTCAATTAAGATCCTTTTTTTGTTTTTTGTATGTATCATCAAAAATATAATTTATCTTAAGGGAGAAACTTGTAAGACATCCAAAAGCTTTAGACTAAAACTGAGTATAAACCCAGCAGTAGGATTTGGTGGTCAAAGGCCTAGGCTTTGAGCACTAATAGAACTGTTTTTGAGGTTTGTTTTTGAATTTTCTTGCAGTACTAGGAATCCAAACCAGAGCCTCCTGCATACTGTGCAAGTGCTCTACCATTGAGCTACACGCCCAGCCCAGAACTGGGTTTGTATTCTAACTTTGTGCAGCTGAGTGACCTTGAGTAAGGCCAGCCTCAGTTTTACCTGTGAAATGGGGATTACAGTGAGGTCAGTCCCCTGAGGATGATGTGAGGATTAAATGAGGTAATGGCTGCTTATATTTCAGACTGACATTGTCTCAATGTTAGCTATTATAATTAACCTTTAAAAAGTAGCATTATTTCTTCGTGTATATATTGAACACCTAATTGTTAATGCTTCTGTCATTTTGAATAAAAGTAAATAGGCCATTTGAAGGCCCCACAGAGATTTGTGCTTTTGCTATTTATATAACTTGTATTAGAAAAGTCACCATCTATACTGTGTCTACAGGTGCAAATTTTAGGGAGAAAATTCGTATTTCCAGTTGATTGAGAGAATTTCATTTAAAATGTATTTACATTTTTTTCCAGCACCCTAATATCTTTTCATGTGGTTCAGGTATAATCTTTTCATAGAGTACCACTGTTGTGAATAGTAGAAACAGAATGTAGTACCTGGCACCCAGTGGGAGTGTTACAGATGTTAGCTGAATGAATGAATGTATAAAAATGTAATGTGCTCATACTGAAAATATCAAATTGGATATTGAACACTTCAATGGAAGAAGCCAAGAAATCTAAGGAATTTTGTTATTAACAAGATAAAGTTTAAGAAACCATTTTGCTTGGGTGATGCTAGATAGATAGGAACGTTGGGCATTGTAACAATGCCAGTGTCTGCAATAGGTGATTCATGAGTCTTTTCTGTCAAGTAATGTTTGCTTCAGTTTGGAAATTTACTATTGACTGTGAATCTTCTCTTTGGGTGAGCAGAAGACAAACTTTATCAATGGTAGCTGTGGCACAAATGACATGCTGTTAAGCAACAGATTTGAATATATTAATTCAAATAATATTTGACCAGAATAAGTAGTTTGCCTTTCCTAAGGAGGCAGTATGCTTTCAGCCTCTCAGGCAACTGACTGAAATGTCACTACAATTGTATGACATAATGGAGCACCCAAGCATGAGAACTTTCTGAGAGGAAAGGCCGTATCACTACATCAGGACCTGTTCCTCAGTTTATTTTGCCAGGTTACTGGGTCCAAATTTAGAAACTAAGATACAGATTTGTGTGTGTGTGCATGTGTTGGCAAACAGAGCTTAACTTGTGAAGGTACCAAGGTTTAACAAGAAAAGGAAAGAAATCCTTAAGTATAAGTGGCTTCACAGTTAATTTATTTGTTGCACATTAAGATTATAGTTCATTATAGGTCTGACTTTGCATGAGTTACACAGATTTCATGAGAAATTAGACATTGAATCTTTTTCCTCACCAATACAATTTTAATGTGAAATACTTTCTTTTGTGGAATATATCTCTAGATATTAATAAAAAGGAAACATGTTATTGTTATCTTAACTTTATTTTTTAGTTTGTTTTATTTAATTTATTATTTTTTTGTGGTGCTGGGGATCAAACCCAGGGCCTCACACGTTAGGTAAGCACTCTACCACTGAGCTACATTCCCAGCCCTTAATTTTAGTTTTTAAACAGAAAATTGTCAAAAATGATCAAGTGTTACTAGAAAAGTGCTGTCAGTTTGGGTGTTGTTTTTAATTTTATTAGTTTGAGGAAAGTAATTAGTTTGAAAGTAAGATGTTTCTTATGTAAAATCTGAAACTTTGCTGGAGCTGTGTAAAGATTTTTTACACCAAATGATTTTCGAAGGTGATGAGGTGCTAGTGTCTATTAAAATGAAGTATATAGAAAAATGAGTGACCATGATGAATACCATTCAGGAAATATTCAGTGAAAATTTGAATAGAATTATGTAAAGAAGTTTTGGGAAATGAATTCTGTGAAAAATTTCTTTTCAGTTTGTTGTTTATAGTGAGATCCCAGTCTGGACAGGATCAAACCTAGAGAATAAAGTTGTAAAAGAGAGACAGAAGAAAGGCTGCAATAGGACAAGGAGAAAAGCAGAATGAAAGAATGACGAATGGATCTTCAGTTGAGGAGCATGTAGAAAGACAGAAACTGTCAGAAAGAATATGCAGACCAGAGACCTTTAAAGTAAATTGACCCTCAAAATTAAAACACTGGTGCAGAATCACTTCCTCTAAATTACTGGCTTGACTTTCAGTATGCCCTCGTTGAACAAAACATCGTTTCACATAAATAAAAAAGT